TTGAATCTGTAAGTGACGCAAGAAGCTGTTTTTGGCTTCAGGAATGTTTTGCTCTACATTCTGACTCCTCTCTTGTTGTTCTTCTTTCCTCTCCATCTTTTCTCCACCTCTCTTCCCCAGACACCCCCACTGTTTCTCTCTTCCTGTTTTCTTAGTTTCTTTTCCTCTCCTTGGTGGCCAAAGCACCAATCAATCACAGCTGTGGTCACAATTACAGTTCTATCTGTGACTCCTCTATCTCCATGATAAAACAAGATAGGAGTAGCCTCTCCAAAAGGCAGACAATATCCCCAGTAGCCTGTGGGAGGCCGCCTGGTGTGGACAAGTCAGCCAATAAGAGGTTTTCCTTGCAGCTGCAAGGCTTGGGAGAGGGAAACAGCAGCTAGCTGGGCAAGTTTGCCGGTGACACAATTAAGTGCTTCGCTTCAAAAACCATGGGAAAATTCTGATACATTCCAGATAATTTCAAAAACATATTTGCAGGTCAGATAATACCAAAGGCAAGTAAAAATCTGAGTTAGGTAAGTACAAGCTGATGTACAAATCTCTATTTACATCCAAACATTTTGCAGATTGGATGACATTAAATTTGACAATTCCCAGTTAGGGATGATAAAAATTGAACTTTGTTCTCTTTAAACCCCAAGCCATTACAAGAAGAGCGGGTTCACTCAAAGTTGAAGTTGAATAGCTAGTAAAAAGCAAAGGGAAATGTGCATTATGGATGAACATTGGAAAGATTTTAAATCCAGTTAAGAAACTGCACTATTTGGAAAGACACAAAAGTAAATTTAAAAATACCTATATTGTGTCTGCATAGGTGGAGCACCTTCACAGTCTAACCTAACACATCTGTCCCATCTTTCTGATTCTAGGAAGACAGGTTCTGTTTGGTGCTGCACAGGGGCAAAGCGGCTTTTGCCTTGCATTTCCTGCACATTCCAGATTCATCAATATCATCAGGGGTATTGAGCCAGCATGGCCATATGCCTGAGCAAAACTCAGGCCTTTTATTTCATGCAGTTAATACAACTAAATCTTGTTTTTTCTTGTCTCAACTTTTATCTTGACCTTTCCAACCCTACAGAAAATGGCTAACACCTGTAAGCCCAGCACTTTGGGGGCCTGAGGCTGGAGGATCACTTGAGGCCACGAGTTCAAGGCTAGCCTAAGCAACATAGCAAGATCCTATCTCTACGTTAAAAAAAAAAAAAATTTTAAACATTAACCAGTTGTGGCATGGCCCTAATGTCCCAGCTATTCAGAAGGATGAGGCAGGAGGATTGCTTGAGCCCAGGAGTTCAAGGTTATAGTGAGCTATGATTGTACCACCGCACTCCAGCTTGAGTGACAGAGCAAGGCACTGTGTCTAAAAAATTTAAATTACAAATTAAAAAATAAATTAAACCTACAAAAATCCTGAAAAAACTGTAAAGAGCACTGACATCACCCAGTTTCACCAATGAGACATTCTCTTATATAAATACAATGCTAATCATCCTCCCAAGGTACTTAACATTGATACACTAGTATTGTCTAAAATAAACTCCATACTTAAACTTCCTCAGTTGTCCCTGTAGCTTTTTAAATGTCTTTTACGACTTGAATAATTTTGAAGAGTCCAAGCCAGTGTTTTGCAAAATGTCCCTATAATCTGGATTTATCTAATTATTCTTTATAATTAGATTCAGGTTAAAATATTTTTGCCAAAAATACTACACAGATGATGGCGTGTGCTTGCATTGTATTGTATCAGGAGGCAATGATGTCTGCTTGTCTTGTTTTGGGTGATGTAAAGTTTGATCACTTGGTTAAGGTGGCTGACATATTTCTACTTTGTAGAGATATCCTTTTGCACTGTAATTTTTTTCTCCATTTATCCAAAGGTTTTTAACATCTATTGATGATCTTTGCTTTATTGCACTGGTATTAGCAGAGTGTTAATTTTTCTAATTTTTTCATTCCTTTTGTATGCATCAGATAGAATATTGAATATCTGGGTCTTTCTGACACCTAAGCTCATACTCTTTCTAGTACACAAGCTACGTTTCTAATATATAAACAAATTAAGCTAGTCATCTGAAGCTGCTAGGAAAAGAAAACATTTCAATTTCATCTCTCTTTTGGAGCTCCATTGTCTTTTATCTTGGCAGAAGTGAACTCCTTCCATAGCTTTGAAACCTACTTTAAAAATCCCAAGACTACAGCACCCACAGAGCTGTTATTTTTAGGGCTCGCATGTGAAGGAATGCATTTTAAAGAGGTAGAGAATGTTCATATCAGGTTCCCTCTCTCCACGTCACTGACATTCTTCCACTTCTTTGGGGGCCCAATTTTGCTTGACTGATTTATTGATTGATGATTTCTTGTGTTTGGTGTGGAAGGGGGAGCATTAGGATAAAAATGTCCATTTGGGCTTTCTGTTTGTTTTCAGTGGCAAAACTGGCTTGAAGAGTTTAGTGAAGCTACCGCATTTTTCCCTGAGCCAAGATCCTGGGATCCCCTGGGTTGAGGAGAAGGTGGGGACTGCAAAGCAGCCTACAGAGACGTTGATGCCACCACCTCCAAGGAGAACTTGCAGGCCCAGCTTGTAGTCATCCCACATGGGATGACTAGAGGGAGCAGGGACCCTATAAGCCTTGCTGGCTGCGAGGACATGGGAACACAGACATGGCTGATCAGACAGGACGCCCAAGACAGAAGCAGTGATTTTTTCTTTTCTTTCCTAGTAGCTGCTCTCCCTGAAAATGTCCTTGTTTTAATGAAATTAGTGTGACTAGATTCCTGCGGGAAAACACACAGAGAGAAACCCTATTCTACCTCTCTTCCTTCTCTTTGTTATATTAAGTGGCAACAACTCCTCTAATCACTAATAAATTCAGGTTTATAAGTCACAATAGCAGTGTCAGGGTTAGGCTGTGAGTGTTACAAGCACTTAAAAGGCCCTTCAAATTAAAACAAAAATATTCTCTTTGTTTGCCATCTTTGTACTGTTTAACATGAGTATTTCAACAGTCTTTGTTTTCCAAACATGCAAACAGGAGAGAGTGATCTGACCCGCAGCATATTGACATGCCATCTATCTATAACCTTGAGATAAAAAGTAAAGGAAAAAGTCAAAACAGCTCAAACCGAATACTAATACAAACAAGTCTTTCTTCACTCTCGACCCCTTCCCCCCATATCAATGGAACAAACTAGCATCAACACTCATTGACGGTGGTGGATTCACATGGATCTATACTTGTGCAGCTTTAGGGGGACAGGGGAGCCCAAACACAAAGGGGAAAGTTTAATGTATTAATCAACTAATTCAACAAATACTTATTACCATATGTATCTGCTGTGTTGCAGACAGGGTTGTAGATGTTGCGGATATCTCATATATTTAAAGGATGTAGAAGACTTGCAAGGTCTCTGCCCTTGTGAAATTTATCTAGTGGTGTTAGAAAAAAAAATCAGAGAATATAGCCGACAGTGTTGAGCGGAGATAGGAAATAGCAGCTGTACCAGAAAGCATGAGCTGGTTTCCTGGATTCTGTATATCCAGGAATGCAACTGCTTCAAAATCTGGGTCAAACTGTGGAATGGCTATTAAAGATAGAAAGGCAGAAAGAAAAAAAGCAGAGAATCAGAGAGAAGCTTCTCTTTCCACCACACATGGGACGGTCCTTTGGGAGTTTTTACCAAATTGTTCAGAAAGAGTTCAACATAATGCTTATAAGATGATGAATTTTAAAAAAACCAACAGTGACTGCACCTTTGTCCCCTGATGCAAGGACCCCAAAGGTGGAATATCCCAATGTAACAAGAGTAACTTTCTGAACACCTTTGTTATGCTAAACTCCGGGCTAGGCATTTCTGATTTTGGCTCATTTAATCCTCTCAACCAAATCCCTGGTGAGATAAACACTAATTTTTATTCCCATTTCACACATGAAGAGACAGACCTAGAAAAGTTAAGTAACTTGCCCTTGCTCAAGGACACAAACCTGGTAGAGAGTGGAACCAGAATCAGGTCATGGCTCCATCTGACTCAAAATTGATGTCCTAAACCACCATATTTACATTCGTAAAATTGTCTTTCATCATTTTATTTCAGTAAAAAGAAAAAATGCATTAATGTTAAATAGGAAAATTATTCAGATAGCTTCAGAAACTGACCTGTGTTTTTAAGATATTGTCTTGAAACAGACATCTACATATATCCAATCAGTCAAAATTAAATAACACCATTTTGTCAAATGCATGAAAAAGTAAGAGATGACTTGTAACTGCCTAAATGTACCTAAGTTCAATATCTCAAATCAGAATTATGATTCAAGAAAGAATGGGGATCAGCATTTTATTCAACTGATAAATTACTCCTCAAAGTTTATTTTATTTTATAAATGCATAGATTTCCATCAGCATACTTTATTTGAAAATTAGATTAATAATAAAATAAAGTGCAACTGGTTTAGTGAAAACAATGCAAAGCTCCATAATAAAGTTCATGTCCATTTGGGAATGAATCCATATCAAAAATCTTTATCAAAAAGAATTGTAGTGGAATTAAACTTTGAAAGGAGGTGAAGGTCTTGCTTTTGCTTGAAATCATTTAAATTAAATATAATGAAAAGTGATCAGGGTGCTTATTTTTACTTTGTTTTGTGGGAAATTGTGCTGGGAATGTAGATCTATTGTACACAAAGGATGTTGGCTTTATGCTGGAACCACTAGGCAGGTTGAGATGAGAAACAATTAGCTCAGTCAGCAAGCCTTTGAATCTGATTAAGCCAGGAAGTGGTCACTCCCCAGGACAGGGCAGAATGAAGGGAATCAAGGCAGCAATCCAAAGCAAGGAATAATTTTTTTCTCTCTCTTTCTCTTAAATAAATTGTTATTAGAATTTATTGTGTCAAATTTATGCCAAGGATTATTTGAGTACATTTCATCTTTGGTAAAACAAATAGAATCTTGTTTCCAAGTAGATCAACAGTTCATATGTGTCGTGGCTACTGTCTCTAAGAAACTTCTATTTACTGAGGCCTGTCATACTCTCATGTTTTGGTAACAAAACATCTTTGAGACCAAGGCCCCCAGCCACCGAGGAAAATGAAGGGCCTCTACCAGGCTGCTGGCCGGATTCTTGTCACTCTGGGGAGCCTCAGTGTCTGCTCTGGAGTTATTGCTTTCTTCCCTGTCTTTTCTTACAAGCCTTGGTTCACGGGATGGAGTGTTCGGATTGCTTGTCCCATCTGGAATGGAGCTTTGGTATGAAAATAGTTTATGAAATGTATTGAGAAAATAAAGGAAGGTGGGAGGGAAAGGGGAAACAGAAGAACATGTATGTCCTTTTAAATTGTTCTAACAATACAAAGAAGTCAAAATTCCACAAAAAATCAGAATCCGCCTTGGAACATTGATTTCTATTAATTGCATTTTTTAAGTATAAAAATTGTCATATTATTTTATCATGTATACATGTATATTATGTATCTTTAATGACATGCTGCTCAAGAAATTCTTAAAAAGTTATTTTATTTTAATCCTGTTATCTTGATTGCTAAGAAATTAGAATCTTTTGAAATTTGAATTTAGAAAAAACATAAACCTTGAAACGTAATTTTAAAATAGAGAACAAAGTAAAATAACTTTCAAACTAATGCTTTCATTGCAAACACTAAGATGTACATGGCCCCAAAATTTACAAACTCCAAATATTTATTTTTCCACCTTTCTCTTGCATGCAACTGTTTGAACTGAAAATAGCTCAATAATTTTCAATTATTTGAAAATAACTCAAATAATTCAGTAATTCAAGATGGACTTAACAATTCACTAGGAAAGTACGTGTGCCAAGTACAGTGTCTGACACTAAGTAGTAGTACTCCGTGTGTGCTCATTGAATCGTTGCACACATAAACAATTGGCCTGGTTCCTTAGCTCTCCAACCGAAAAAAAAAAAAAATAAGCACATCTAGTCTTAAGAGTAACTGGCTTCCATGCTGGTATGATTTAAGACAAGTTACAGAGACGCACCTGTCCAACAAATCCTTCTCTCATTGATTCCTGTGATGCCTGACACCACTGGAGACTGGAGAATGCAATTTTGAAGCTTTTTGATCTTAAGGAGTCTTCTATTAAAATGTAGCGACTTGGCCGGGCATGGTGGCTCATGCCTGTAATCCCAGTACTTTAGGAAGCTGGGGGGGGGGGTGGATCACGAGGTCAGGAGTTCGAGACTAGCCTGACCAACATGGTGAAACCCCCTCTCTACTAAAAAATACAAAAATTAGCTGGGTGTGGTGGCACGCACCTGTAATCCCAGCTACTCAGGAGACTGAGGCAGGAGAATCACATGAACCTAGGAGGCAGAGGTTGCAGTGAGCGGAGATCACACCACTGCACTCTAGCCTGGGCGACAGAGCAAGACTCCGTCTCAAAACAAACAAACAAACAAACAAAATGTAGTCACTCTTGTGTGAGAGAGTATCTTAAATCTTTAAAAAGTTAAAACTTTAACTGGGATACCACCTAAAAACTAGTCCTCAGGAAATATAAGTTTTAATCTACTTATTAGATAAATATTTATGAATAGCCCACTATGTCCTTGAGTTACAATGAAGGATCCAACAAGGTCTTCATCTTAAAGGAACTTAGTCTAGTGGGGTTTGATGAATGTGTGTAGATAGATGGAGGCCAGTGGGATGATGGGAGAGTGGATGGAATGAGGAAAGCATAGGGTTATGTTTCTCTTTCTCAGTTTTTTTCTTTTTCAATACATGCTTTTGTATCTATCACCCCAATCGTGATCTTCTCTTCTTTTCTTCAACACCTGCCTGAAACCATAATTCATTCAAAGAAATATTTGTTAAAGTTCTACAGGAATGCAGAGATGGCAGTTACATTTATTGAAGCAGCTTCCAAAATTTTTTTTGGTGACTCAGAGTCAGAAAAATATTGTAGGTGAGGACCCAGAATGTACATAAATACATCTACATTCTTCTCTCTAGATAAATAGATACGTATAGTAGATGTTTATAATAGACATCTATTATGCATATATATGTATAGTAGATGTTTATATATCTGTAAAACAAAAGTTTCTCAAAATAGTACTTACCCTCTATGTGAAACATATTCTGATATTTTCTATTTCAAAGTCTAATTTCACAAAGTTTAATAATATCATGATTAGAGTTCAACCCTACATTCTTTTGTTACAGCTCTTTGCCTATCCTTGCAGACTCTAACATAATACATTCAACAAATATTGGTGATTTTGATTGAATGTAATCATGTTCTAGGTCAAACATCTATTTTTACCAGTTAGGCCCAGAGAAATGATATGATATGTCTCCAGCACATAGTTAATTGGTGACTGACTATTTGATTTCAGAGGTGGCAGCATCAGGAAATGGAGTCAGAGATAAAGGATTTAGAGAAGCGGACCTGTTTTCAAGTCCTGACTTTGATGTTCTTGGTAGGAGGTCAAAAGTAGGACCCTCTGCCAGCCAGTTCCTCATTCCCTTTATCTGTAAAATGGGGAATTTCACAGATAAAAAGAGCCCACATGTAAAACTGTCTAACCCTAAGATGCACAATGAGAATTAACACAATTTAAACAAAGATTGTGTAATAAAGAGCTTTGCAATTTTAAAGCCCTCCTCAAATGCTAGTTAATACCATGCCTTTCATTTGTGCCTTCTCTGTGCTCAAGCCCTTTGTTCTTAATCCTGTGTCACCCGCCTCACTTTCCTATCCTATTCCCTCGTAACCTGCTGAGTTCTCCATCCTGTTAACTTCCTGGACTTCATCTTCTACCACTCTTCCCTTAGCTCACTTCTCTCCCATCACACTGGCTCCTTGCAGTTTTCAAACACGCCATGATGTGTTTCTGCCTCAGGACCTCTGCCTAAGGCCTCTTCCTGAACTTGGCTCACTCTCTAGCCTCCTTCAATTCTTGATTAATTCTTTATCAAACATCACTTTTTTTTACAACGGTTTGCTCCCATTACACTGTTTGCAGTTGTAATTCCTTGACCCCAACCGGTGTTCCCAATCTCTGATACCCTGCTCTATTTTTTTCCCGTAGCACTTATTAGCATATAAGATACTATATAATTTTTTAAATTTATTGTTTGTGCATTCCCCTCTCCTCTAACAAATGTATATTGTAGAAGGGCAGGGATTGTTTTTTCTATAATGTTTACTGCCGTATGTGAAGAACTTGGAACAAAGGGAATTACATACTATGTGTTCAATAAATATTGTTCAATAAATATTGTTGAATGAGTGAATGAATCTCATGCCCTCCATTCCGTTGGTACAAAATTTCTTATACAGTTGCATACCAATTAGGTTGCAAGGACTAAAGGTCAGGGTGGTGTTTATTTTATACTAGGGCAGGAAAAAATCCTCATGCGAAGGAAAGTAATACAAATGCTCAGTATTTCAATAATGTCTAAATTTGAACCAACTTTTTTTTTTTTTTCCTAGTGAGTTTCCTACTGAACCATGGTTCTGCCTGATCAGGGTGAACTTCAAATGGTCTCTGACTCATTCCACAACCTTCCTTACCAATCACTTCTTAACTTGCCTCCAAAGTATGTCTTCCTCCAGTGACAAGATTTGTACATTTCAACCATATCGACATTTCCTTTTGCCGATGACTCCATATTTCCTTGGAGACTTGTAAGAGAGAGATTTTTGCATATGATACAGTACTTTTCAAAGCCTTTCATTCAAGACTCTCTAAGTACTTCATATAGATTTGTCCTCAGACTCCCTAGTTCCATTTTGACATTTATATGACAAGCAATTTTCCTAGAATTTTGGAGGTAGGTTATTTAAAAGCATCAGCTGCTAGAAAGTATTCAGTGAGGAGATCATAGTACCTTAAGGAATGAGCTCTATTAATTCTAGAAAACATGGCTTGTAGAACAAGTTCTGATGAAAAGACTGGAGTACAATGAGTTTAAACACAGGCCCTGAGGACTGGAGAGCCCAGTGACTTGGCCAATGGCAAGCACAGCGCTACACCCAGAGCCCTGCTTAGAGAAGGGAATTTGGGAGAAAGGTCACACTAGACTTAGTTTTGCAGTCTTCCTCAGCGGAAGTTCTGCCCCTTCCTCGACGGTTAGAGAAGGGGCTTGATTACATGACCATGCACGTCTGTTACAGCTTCCACAGTTGCATGACTTCCAACTGCCTGATGGTGTCAAAGAAAAACCAGAGCTGGACAGTTAGTTAAAGCAATAAAAGCAAATTTTATTCAGGATTATTGCAATAGGGAAAAAGAGACATCAATATAGAACAAAGTTCAAGTCCAAATACAGCATGAGCAAATGGGAATTTATAGCTGAGAAGCAGGGTGAAAGTCAGTGGATGGAAAATTACTAACAGGAAATATCAGGGACAAGGGGGATTGTGGCTATACGGACCTAACAGTTTTCTTGCTGAAGACAGGCCAGGGTGATCAGACATCACTTTGGGGATTGGGGAGGAGGAGAAATCTAACTAGTTATAGAGGGTGATCAGTTATCAAGGCTGGGGGGGATTCTTGCTAAACTGACTCAGCAGGGTTCTTGTGCTCAAACTGGATTTTACAAGGAAGTACACAGATGGGCCTAGGAGAAGGTTCAGGAACCTGACTACAGTTTGATCAAGCAAAGAATCTATGTCAATGGTCCATTTTTCCACTTAGATATCCAAAGCTGCTTTAAGGCCAGTTTGTCTAAAACCAAATTAATCATCTTGTCACCAAAACCATTTTTTTTCTTCTTCAACTTCCCTGTCGTTGTCTTGGTAACTCAATTTCAAACACAGGAGTGATTTTGACTCAACCTGTTCCTCTAAACTAGCCCTTCTCAAACTGTAACGTGCATACAAATCATTAGGAGATCTTGATGAAATGCAGGTTCTAATTCAGCAGGTCTGGGGTGGGGTCTGAGAGTCTGCATGTCTAACAAGTTACTAGAGGATGCCCATGCTGCTGGTCCTAGGACCACACTGCAGGCAGCAATGCCCTAAAGCAGCCCAACATCAGCCCCACTCCAATCAGTTGCCATGTAACTTTAATTTTTCCTACAAGGCGTATCCCTACGCATTCCTTCTTTTTCCTTCTCACTGTATACCACCCTCCCCTCACCACTTCCCATCACTACTCAGATTTTATGCCTAGGTAACTTTGATAGTCAAACTGTGGGAATCTATCCATTAATGAATTATAAAATAAATCTATTGAGTAGCTAGCAGCATTTACAATAAATGCATAGAATAGAGTAGAGTAGAATAGAATAGAATAGAATAGAATAGAATGGAATGGAATGGAATGGAATGGAATGCAGTGGAGTGGAGTGGCGTGGCATGGCGTGGAGTGTAGTGGAATGGAATGGAATGGAATAGATAGTATAAGAATGCATCACATTTTTTATATCTGACCAAAATAATATGTAACCCTCATTATGCATCATAAAAATATTTATAACTATGACATGAAATGTATTAGTTATTGTGGCAAGAGCTGAAAAAATAAATCTGAAGACCAGGGTTCTACAGAGACTTCTAGGCCTCCCTTTATTCCAATCTCGCGTGCACACAACTGGCTCATCTTTCTAAACCCCTTCAGTAGTCAGGCTACAGCTCCTTCAAAAAGCTTTCATGTTGCTTCATTGTCCCTAAACAAAGTTCAGATGGGCTAGCCTGCATTGTGAGGTCCTCCTAACTCCGGTATTACCTGGCTTTCAATCCTCGTTTTCTACTCGTCTCTGCCAAGAACTGACCCTCCTTTCAGTGTGGACTCCTCACTCACTGCTCCCTAAGCATGACAGCCACTTCCCCACCTTTGCACACGCTGCTCCCACAGCCTAGGCTGCCCTCCCTCTGTCACCTCCCATTGAAATCACATCCATCCTTAAACCGACTTCAGATCCTATTTCTCCATAGTGCCTTCATCATCGATGTTTCCCTTGTAAGTGATACCTTATCCCTGGGCTCTTCTCATGTAGAAAACATTCATCCTTCTTGCCTAGTGTTGTAGCCATTCTCTTATGTGCACTATTTTTACACCCAAACTGTAGATTCCAGTGACAGTCAAAACTACTATTTGTACAATTACTATTTCGGGATCTTGCTCATCTTATTTAGCCTTTCTGTGCCTCATTTTAAAAGTGGGAGGATATCTACATGATAAGGTCATTGTGAGGATTAAATGAGTTAGCATGTGTGACATGTTCAACATATATTAAACACTCACTCAATACATGTAAACATTTATTATTACTTTATCAGCATAGTACCTAGCAAATTGCTTGTTTGCAGTAGACTCGTAACAGATGCTTGTAAGTGAATAAATTATCCCATATTAAATGATACCTCTAAAAGTTTCTATTTCTATTGTGAGGGCTCCCTGATTCCTTCAATTCATCTACTTCTGGGAACTTAGGCAATTGCCTCTACTTAGGCAATTTAAAGATTTAGTGGGAGAGTTCATAATTATCATGCAATCAAAGTGTTAGCAGCAATTGTTGCAAAACCCAACTGATACCCCTGGATGTGCCCAGAAAGCAAGGCAGCAGCATGTCAAGGAGAGCTGAGGGAGGCGAGTGCAGGATGGAGGCCCTCTCTTCTTTCCCCACTCACTGCTGGGCACAGCCTCCACTCTCCCCTTCCTCACAACCTGGCCTCCTCTTCAGCCAACTATTCCCCTTCAGACTCTCCCTCTCACACATTTTCTCTTCCCCTTGACTTGTCCTGCCTACCCTCAAATCTCTTCCTTTTTCATTCTTTTCTCCTCTGTATCTAAAAATGTAATTTTCAAAAAGAAATGGAAGAAAGAAAAGGGGAAATCTGTGCATCTTGGGGAAAATAGCTCTATTCTATCTCCCATGTCTGGTGGGGAGCACCAATAAAGATGGGTGCGCTAACCTCTTGAGCCACCTTTCCATTTGCAGGGTAGATTTAACAAGTTACTGAAGGCATTCATACTCAGCCTACTCCATGAAAGATCTTTTTCAAAGTTTTATGTAAACAAAGCAAAATTCAAGCTGGCAGCTACAAAAATAACAGGCAACTGAAATTCTGCAGTATTTTTCAACTTTTTGAAAGGAAAGAAACAGCTCATGCCAAAGTAGTTAAGGCAACCTGGAATCTCAGCATCTGATAATGTCAGCTATCTACTCAGAGTTAAACCAGCAGAGGGGCATGAGCCTGTCTCCCTTGCTTATCTGGCTTCAGTGTTTCTCTGTCTTACAGAGCAGTGATGTGTCAATTGAGGGCCATGCTTCCCAAAGCAGAGAAAGCCCCAGGCTTACCCCACAGCACCGGTGTTACAGTTGCTCTTAATAATTCTTTTGTTTTCTTGTATTATTTATGCTGGCTCACCCTCCATAGGGTCCCTTGGAAACTTTCCTCTTGCAGAATCAAGCCAGGAACCTCTTTTGACTACAGATGGTTCTGTTTTTATCCCTGGGAATTTTATGGTATGGCGATGCCAAGTCTGGAATTGAAGGCTCAGCTACATGAGAAGTGTGTGTGTGTGTGTGTGTGTGTGTGTGTGTGTGTGTGTGTGTGTGTGTGTTTCCCTGTCTCTCAAATTCTCTAAATCCAACATTCAAAATAAAATATGCCAGGAAAATGAAAAAGCTAAGTCTCAAAACAGTAAATATGCCAGATCCAGCTGCTACAAAAGCAGCATACCACAAAACCATGTTGGTAAAAATGCTGATTTTTTTTTCCTCCTTAACTTTGTAGATTGTGTACATATAGTCATGCTTATTTCTCTGTCAAAAGCTAACTTGTACTATATTTGGAGCTGTCCATATTCTATATCTTATTTTAGGCACATCTCTTCCTCTTTCTCTCTCAACCTCAAAAGAGTCATTAACCAAGAACAAATGATACACAGGATTAAGAATAAGTTATTTCCAGTCTCAGTGACCACAAAGGTCTCCTCCATGAGACCTGTTGCTGAATCAAAGAGCCCAGGAATATTTTTTTTCCCATTATATACTGCTAAATTCTGGTGACACTATTCCCTCTTTTGTTTAACTATTTTCATTCCACACTTTGGGCCTTTTTCCTTCAACAGAGACTATAAAGAAAAACTCTCTTTTGAAAGGCTGGACACCACTGTACCCAGAACAATAAATGCCACATCATGCATTCATTCTAATGATAATCTTTGTTATTTGAGAAAAGGGGATCGTATATTTGGATCCTACCAGCAGGCTGAGGCTGTGGAGTCTCAAAAGAAAGCAAATAGCAAAAGAGCAAGTCGCTTCAGGGTTTTGTGACAAGTTTCCATTCTGGTTCCTTCCATTTACAGTTTCATCAGTTTGTGTGAAAGGTGAACAAAAGACAATTAATCAAATAAAACATATGGCAAGTGTTATAAAACCAAACCATTATCGTGGTGACACCTCACAGTAGTGGAGGGGGTGATTCTGATGGCAAAGGCAACATAGAGAATCAAAAAATGAGCTTGTATGAATCATGCCTTTATGACACTAAAGGCTTACTTTCCTCATCATCACAGTTTTTTTCCATGGATGAGGAGGAAATCAGAGCCATCAATCCACTGAGTCGTTTGCTGTTCCTTCAAGTTCGTGATGAAGTTGTCAAACTGTGAGACAGATTGAATTCTTTCCAGAGGCACCTTCTGTGGTGGATGTTTATTTTTGCATTTTCTTGTCGCAGGCCATCACAACTGGTGTGCTTCTACTGTTGGCTTACAGAGAGTGGACCCAGAGGTACCTGGTAAATATACAGATGCCAAATAGGATGGTAGAGTGGCTTTGAAAGTCAAATCACTATTAAGTTCAGGATGGAACATAAAAAAATATGACATCCAATTAGAATTGAATTTGGTCTAATTGATGCCATGCTACAATGGATTTCAGTAATAAACTCTGTTTTAAATGAATTTTTTTTTTTTGGAGACGGAGTTTTACTCTGTCACCCAGGCTGGAGTGCAGTAGCATGATCTCGGCTCACTACAACTTCCGCCTCCCAGGTTCAAGTGATTCTCCTGCCTCAGCCTCCCAAGTAGCTGGGAGTACAGGTGCACACCACCATGCCCAGCTAATTTTTATATTTCTAGTACAGACAGGCTTTCGCCATGTTGGCCAGGCTGGTCTTGAACTCCTGACCTCAGATGATCCACCCACCTCAGTCTCCCAAAGTGCTGGGATTACAGGCATTAGCCACTGCGCCCAGCCCTGAATAATTTTTATCTGATCCCTGCTCCAAATATTTTCTACAAGTTCCTGTGATGATTATTGTATTTGGGGAGGATGGAGCCAGTGCTAGTGCTCCTAAATTTCATTTTGAAGAAATGGATCTATAGGTTTCTCTGCTTTTAGTAATATATTTTTAATTCTCAACTCCTTAATCTGATATCTCTTTCCAATCTTCTTGGTACCTCTCCTTCTAAAAAAGGATGAAAAGTCTATGCTATCTTGCATTTCAACTGCATAAAACCAGATAATCCCATGATACAGAAAGACTACATTATCTGATTATAGATTTTATTGCCATGGTTAATGCAGGGCTTCTCAAACTTAAATGTATATGTAAATCAACTAGAGATTTGGTTAAAATGCAGATTCTGATTCAGTAGATCTGGGTGAGGCCTGAGATTCTGCATGTCTGCCAGGCTCCCAGGGGATGTCAGTGCTACTGGATGGACCACATCCTGAGTAGCTGAATAGCAAGAACCTTGAGCAGGGATTTTGTTCACTCATCTTTGTTTTTCCCAACCCAGACTAGTTGCCTCCATGTGATGGGAAATATATAAATAAATGTTTGTTGAATTGAACTAATTTAACTTTTGCCCCAGTTGGCTGATATATTATTCTCCTGTGGTGTAGATTGAAAACGAAGGACTGCAGGAGGGAGAGCATCAGAAAGAATAGCTAATGGGTGCTGGGCTTAATACCTACGTGATAGGTTGATCTGTGCAGCAAATCGCTGTGGCACACATTAACCTGTGTAACAAACCTGCACATCCTGCACATCCTGCACATGTATCCTGGTACTTAAAATAAAAAGTGAAAAAAAAAAAAAGAAAAGAAAATGAAAATACAAGGGACATATTCAAGGGAAAATGAAAATATAAAGAGAAGGTCGTGATCGATTTCTCCCTCATTTTCCAATAGGAGAGATTCATAGCCAGCATCTCTTTTTTTTTCTTCATATTGCTAAGAAGGTTTTGAAATATTTTGTCTCCACAGTAACAATTTATTCTTGCTTTATTTTCAGTGGGAAGCTACTTTCACCTTTGGATTCTGAGCATTATGGAATGTCCACTCCATTTTGCAGTAGCCTTGGAATCTGCTCTCCTGGGCCCATATTGCTTCTATTCATTTTCAGGGATTGCAGGGACTAATTACCTTGGATATGCAGTTACCTTTCCTTATCCATATGCAAAATTCCCATTAGCCTATGTGGACATACCACACTATGAAGAGTACCACCTGACACTTCAAGCCCTCGACCTGTGCCTAAGCTTTACCCTGCTCTGTACATCCTTGACAGTGTTCATCAAACTTTCTGCAAGACTTATCCAGAATGGACACATAAACTTAAGTTTCAACAAAGGGGGAGCAGGTTCTTGTTCCACCCTGTACGCTAAAATGGAAAGTTTGATATGTGAATAGTTGATATTTCTCTGTTATTTACCACTGTATCCTATATGCTCTAGATATGCAGGTCTGGCACATAATAGGTACTGAACAATTGTTTTTGAATTAATAAATGGAAATATCTTGACATTATAACTGAAGTTATGGCTGTAGGTAGCACCAGCCAATTTTTATGCCAATCCAAAATTTTGAAAATTGTTCATAGGAACAAGACAAGGGTGCCCACTCTCACTACTTCTATTCAACTAGTACCGGAAGTCCTAGCCAGAGCAATTGGGCAAGAAAAAGAAATTTTAAAAATCCAAATCATAAAGAAAAAAGCAAAACTGACTGTGTTTGCAGATGACATGACCTTATATATAGATACCCTAATGATTCCATTAAAAAAATGTTAGAAAGGATACATTCAGTAAAGCTGCAGGATGCAAGTTCAACATACAAAAACCAGCTATGTTTCTATACATTAACAACAAACAATCCTATTTACAGCAGCATCAAAAAGAATAAAATATTTAAGATAAATTTAAGCAAGAATGTGAAAGATCTGTATACTAAAAACTATAAAATATTAATGAAAGAAATTGAACACACAACTAAATAAAAAGGTATCCTATAATCATAAATCAGGAGATTTAATGTTGTTAAAATGTCCATTCTACCCAAAACAATCTATAGACTCAGGGCAATTCCTATCAAAAGTTCAATGGCATTTTTCACAGAAATAGAACACATAATCCTAAATGTGCATAGATCTACAAAAGACCACACATAGCCAAAGCAATCTTGAGAAAGAATAGAGCTGGAGATATCACAGTTTGATTTTAGACTATATTACAAAGCTATAGCAATCAAAACAGTATGGTACTAGCATAAAAACACAATAGACCAATGAAACAGGACATAGAGCTCAGAAATAAACCCACATATGAATTTTTGTCCTAAAATAAAATGGCCTTGTTTTTCAAGAAAGAGGGATATTTAGGACAAAACAGAAAGTCTAAGCATGTTGTGAATGGTCTATGTAAGTCATAATTAGTTTAGTAAAAAGAAATATTTTTTTAAAAAGGGATTGTATAATTCAGTTGGCTATGATTAAGAAGAAACTTTCTAGAGATGGGTATTTAATATTAAAAAATACACTAATACAAAACTAATTAGTTAAAACAAGATTTTATTACAAACATTGACTTATTCTTAATGCAAGAAGTTTTTAATTTTTAAATTCTATGACCTATCTCTGACATTCTTCAGATTGACATCTCAAAAATTCAACTCTTTCTTTTAGAAAAGGTCTTGGATAATAGCTCTCTCCTTCACCTTTTGTTGGCTCCTGTAACTTCTATTAATTATCTAAAGTAGGAAAGGGAATTGTTTTTTAAACAAGCAAATAAAATATCCTTTGGGGCTGGGCATGGTAGTTCATGCCTGTAATCCTAGCACTTTAGGAGGCTGATACAGGTGGGTCACTTGAGGTCAGGAGTTCGAAACCAGCCTGGCAAACATGGTGAAACCCCATCTCTACTAAAAACACACAAAAAATTAGCCAGTCATTTCCATTCATTAATTTTAAAAAATTATTGAGTACCTATTATGTGGCAGACCTGGATATCAAGAGCATATAGGATACAGTGGTAATCAAGTGGCTTTTTAAAAGTTACTTGATTAGAACTCTCTCATGCAGTTTGGTAGTGAAATATCACTTCCACATGACACATATAAAGATATAGATATAATAGATATGCAAAATAAAAGTGCCCGTTGGACTGGTAGAAGTTAGCTCAGATGTCATTTAATTCCCATAACCTTGGTAATCTGTGATAAAATTAATTTGGTAAATTTAATCTCAAAATTCTCTCCAGTAATTTAAAATCTTAAAGTCATGTTAAACCCTTGGTTTTTATTTTCACTGGGAAATTTGGATTATTAATTTTAAAATAATGGGAGCATAAAATATGTTTTTGGTAAACTTTATAAAACACAAAGATATTGATTTTGCTTAAAAAAAGGAAAATAGTTTTTTCCTCTAGTTAAAAACTATTTAATGATTGCTTTAAAATGAAGTAAAAATTATACAAATAAAACTAAACAAAAGGAGCAATTAGGCCAGGGCAACAAAAGCTAACTCTGAGCCCTGTGATTACCAAAAAAAGAAAAAAAAAGTCAATATGGGGGAAGGGTAAAATCAAGTAACCATTAAAAAGCAGAATATATAATATAAGAGAATTGTTCCATTTCATAGATTGGTATTATCGACTTCTTAAAAAATCTTTACTATAGTGAATTGTAAAAATAACCACTTTAAGGACAAAATTCTTAAATTTAAATGCCACAGGATTTAAGAGCTTGTTTGGGTTCATGCAAGACTCATAGCTCACTACTAATCACTAATGAGTATATGTAATCCAAATGTATAGGAGGTTATTTCTAAGAGAACAATCAGCCTAGTAAACTGGATAAGTGACACTGTAAGAGCTGCTTGCCCTGAGAAGAGGACTGCCCAACTCTCCCTATAAAATACCAAGTGATCCACCCCAGATGAAACAGTTAATATGCTTCATATGCAAGCCACATTGGACTGGCTTTATGATGACTGGGATATCCTCCCAGCAAGTACACCCATTAGCCAGGTCATAGTAAATTTGGGGGCTAAGTGGACCCCTTTTACATGGGTGCCCCTCCCACAGAATCACAGGACTGTTTCAGAAGCCTTATCAAATTTGCTGTCCCTCATATGTCTTACAGATGCAACTCCCTGCTGGGAACACAAATCCTTTTTCACCATGAAAGGTAAAATGGTATGGGGGTAGAAAAGGCCTGGGACCAGAACATAAAAGCATACAGATTAATATAATTATTAAATTTAAGATGTTTAAACAAGCTTTAAGTAAGGTAGTTGAACTCCTTTACCTAAATGTCTTATTAAAACGGATACTGCATCTGACTGGGATGTTTCCCCTTTCTAGTACTATGAAGCTGAAGGCATGTAAATCTTCTCTTTTAGGAAATGTTAGTTAAACATGCTAAATGGGAGCTAGTAAAATCACCTAAGCCCACAAAGTATAGGGTAGTAGCTGGAGTGCTAGTCCAGATGAATTACTCACTGCATATCCCTTTGTGTGGAGCATTCATTGGGGCTGATGGCAAAAGACTGTGAGTATTTTTCAATAACAACAACTGAACTTGAGAATTTCCACTTGATGGAACATTTATTGCCTTGCTATAGAATATTAACTGAAGCTACCCCTATGCTAATGGAAAAATGGTGCCCAAAAGAGTTCCGTGATTAAATAAAAATGTTTTACATAAAACAAAAACTCATATGCAATCAAGTAATATTTGACAAGGATGTCAGGAATGCACAATGAGGAAATGATAGCCTTTGTAATAAATGGTGTTAGGAAAATTGGATATCTACATGCAAAAGAATGAACTTGGACCCCGATTTAGGCCAGTCACAGAAATTAACTTAAAATGGATTAAAGACTTAAATGTAAGACCTAATGCTGTAAAACTACTGAAAGAAAACATAGGGATAAAGCTCCATGACATTTGTCTTAGCAATGCTTTTTTTGGATATGACATGAAAAGCACACGCTACCAAAGCAGAAATAAACAGTGGGACTACATCAAACTAAAAAGCTTCTGCACAGCAAATAAAACATTCAACAAAATGAAAAAGCGGCTTACAGAATGGGAGAAAACATTTTCAAACCATATACACAAGGGATTAATATCCAAAATATATAAGGAACTCATACAACTCAATAGCAAGAAATAAATAATCTGATTTTAAAATGGGCAAATGACCTGCATAGACATTTTTTCAAAGAAGACATGCAGGTGGCCAACAGGTACATGAAAAGGTGTTGAGAAGCTCTTTAACATTACCAATTACTAGGGAAATGCAAATCAAAACCACAATGCAATATCACTTCACACCTGTTAAAATGACTATTATCAACAGGGTAAGAGATAACAAGTGTTGGTGAGGATGCAGAGAAAAGGGAATCCTTGTGCACCATTCGTGGGAATATAAATTGGCATAGCCCTTATTTAAAACAGTATGGAGGTACTGCCCAAGGTAATTTATAGATTCAATTCCATCCCCATCAAGCTATCAATGACTTTCTTCACAGAATTGGAAAAAACTAAAGTTCATATGGAACCAAAAAAGAGCCCACATAGCCAAGACAATCCTAAGCAAAAAGAACAAAGTTGGAGGCATCACGCTACCTGACTTCAAACTATACTCAAGGCTACAGTAACCAAAACATGGCACTGGTACCAAAATAGATATATAGACCAATGCAGCAGAAGACAGACCTCAGAAATAACACCACACATCTACAACCATCTGATCTTTGACAAACCTGACAAAAACAAGGAATGCGGAAAGGATTCCCTATTTAATAAATGGTGCTGGGAAAACTGGCTAGCCATATGTAGAAAGCTGAAACTGGATCCCTTCCTTACACCTTATACAAAAATTAACTCAAGATGGATTAAAGACTTAAATGTAAGAGATAAAACCATAAAAACCCTAGAAGAAAACCTAGGCAATACCATTCAGGATGTAGGCATGGGCAAAGACTTCATAAGTAAAACACCAAAAACAATGGCAACAAAAGCCCAAATAGACAAATGGGATCTAATTAAACTAAAGAGCTTCTGCATGGCAAAAGAAACTAACATCAGAGTGAACAGGAAACCTACAGAATGGGAGAAATTTTTTTCAATCTACTCATCTGACAAAGGGCTAATATCCAGAATCTACAAAGAACTTAAACAAATTTACAAGAAAAAAACATAAACACCATCAAAAAGTGGGCAAGGGATGTGAATAGACACTTCTTAAAAGAAGACATTTATGCAGCCAACAGACACATGAAAAAATGTTCATCATCACCGGTCATCAGAGAAATGCAAATCAAAACCACAGTTAGATACCATCTCACACCAGTTAGAATGGCAATCATTACAAAGTCAGGAAACAACAGATGCTGGAGAGGATGTGGAGAAATAGGAATGCTTTTACACTGTTGGTGGGAGTATAAATTAGTTCAACCATTGTGGAAGACAGTGTGGTGATTCCTCAAGGATCTAGAACTAGAAATACCATTTGACCCAGTGATCCCACTACTGGGTATATACCCAAAGGACTGTAAATCATGCAACTATAAAGACACTTGCACACGTAGGTTTATTGCGACACTATTCACAATAGCAAAGACTTGGAACCAACCCAA